CCACCCATCCATCCATACGCCCACCCACCCATCCATCCATCCGCCCATCCATCCACCCGCCCACCCATCCATCCATCCATCCATCCACCCATCCACCCACCCATCCATCCACCCATCCATCCATCCATCCATCCATCTGCCCATCCATCCATCCATCCGCCCATCCATCCGCCCACCCATCCATCCACCCACCCATCCGCTCACCCATCCACCCATCCACCCACCCATCCATCCACCCATCCATCCGCCCATCCATCCATCCATCCATCCACCCGCCCACCCATCCATCCATCCGCCCATCCACCCACCCATCCATCCATCCATCCATCTGCCCACCCATCCATCCATCCATCCATCCATCCACCCTCCCATCCATCCATCCATCCGCCCACCCATCCATCCATCCTCCCATCCATCTACCCACCCACCCACCCATCCCACCCATCCATCATCCATCCATCCATCCGCCCACCCATCCATCCATCCGCCCACCCATCCATCCATCCGCCCATCCATCCACCCACCCATCCATCATCCATCCATCCATCATCCCACCCACCCATCCATCCATCCATCCACAAATGGTGGAGGAACAGGATCCCGTGGGGGACTTGATGCTTTCAGATCTGTTAGCATATCCATTAGAAAAGAGAGTCAAAGGCTCAGACGTCGTAAGACCAAGGAGCTACGACCTAAAGATTAGAGTCAGGAGCTGAGATTAGAGGCCTTGTGGTGGAAAACCTTTCTACAAAATAATTCAGAAAAGTCTTAAGATTAAAAAAAAGAGAGATCAAAGGAGAGTTCAGAACAAAGTCAATTGTGTTTTAAAAGAACATGAGGATTACGTCTGATTGATGACAACATTTTCCAGAAAGATATTTTTTCTTCTTTAACCGTGTTTTGGTAATGATGTCAGCAGTCCTTCCTGATCTGATTGGACACATGAAGTTCATCTTTTTCCCCGTTCGCTCTGCTCGGTGACTTTCCCTTCTGGCAGCCCTGCTCCTCTCATTAAGCCAAGGCTCCAGTTTCATTAAGCCAAGGCTCCAGTTTCATTAAGCCAAGGCTCCAGTTTCATTAAACCAAGGCTCCAGTTTCATTAAGCCAAGGCTCCAGTTTCATTAAACCAAGGCTCCAGTTTCATTAAGCCAAGGCTCCAGTTTCATTAAACCAAGGCTCCAGTTTCATTAAGCCAAGGCTCCAGTTTCATTAAGCCAAGGCTCCAGTTTCATTAAGCCAAGGCTCCAGTTTCATTAAACCAAGGCTCCAGTTTCATTAAGCCAAGGCTCCAGTTTCATTAAGCCAAGGCTCCAGTTTCATTAAGCCAAGGCTCCAGTTTCATTAAGCCAAGGCTCCAGTTTCATTAAGCCAAGGCTCCAGTTTCATTAAACCAAGGCTCCAGTTTAGAATGAGGCTGCTTTGTTTTTAAAGGAGCTACAGAGTCTAGGATTGTTCATGACTAGTGTGGAGTAAAATATGTTGAGGTTTGTCTGTTCTCAGCCTCCCAGGCTGCAAACGAAGGTCATGAGAGATAAGAATGGGTCACAGCCTCCTTCATGGCATGAAGGGGAGGACTGTTTGTTTGAGAAGATCCATCTGACCTGTGAAAGATAGATTAACCTAACAGGAAACGGCCTTGATGAACTCAAGCTGTTTTGCTTCAAATTATGAGCTCCTCCAATCCAGAGGTGGACACTTCAGGAGGGACAGGGAGCTGATTAGACGCCTCAGAGAATCCCACAGCAGAGGACGGATTAAAATCAGACCGCAACGAACAAGAGAACAGGGTTTAGTTAAAGGATGCTTAAAATAAACATCAAATAAAACCGACATATTTTCTGAGTAGCCAGAATTACATATTCCAACATTAGACACAGGCAGACCATGAGACAGAATCAGATCTAAGCAAGTTACTGACTGAATGAAGGTCTAAAAACATCCTTCACCAGCATTTTTTCAGGGCAGCACACATAAATAATAAAACCTCCTCCAGTAAGAAGACAATCATAGCTGGGCATAATCCCAGACAGAAAGCATGAGAAGTCATTCATCAGGTTCTTATCACATAGAGGGGGGGGGGAATAACAGCACAGCAGACATGCTTTGAACCACAAACAAGGTCAGCTGAAAACTGGAGAAAGAGTTCTGAGAGGGACGCTGTTTACATTTCAGCTCAGTTATATAAGGAGGTGCGGCGCCTCCTAGGGATAAGAATTGATAAGATTTTCACGATTTAGATTCTTTTATCGATTCAGTGAACTTGGTGAGTTCACGGTGACATTGGTCTACCTTCGGCTGGATCATTCTATCTCTGCTTGCCTCGGTGAAAACAGAAGGCGGTGAACGGGAGCTACGGGATCCAGCCAGGCTGCCCGTCTCCTCACAGTCAGCTAAATCTAATGCAGAAGGCATCCGTTTAATGAAAAAGCATTACTGTACAATTCAGGAAATAAACTCATCTCCCCCTGATTTAAATAAACGAGCGTCACCTTTGATGCAATCAACTGGTTTACCTTAGATAGAAAACTTTCAATCAACTGTGACGTGTTGTGAATTGATGCTATAGAAATAAACAGAACTGAAGCTCAGACTCCATGCATACAGTGATGGTGGGCAGCTGATGTGAAACACCGTTGTATCATTTCTGGTTATTGTGCGAGTCTGAAAGAGGGACACTGGTTTCTTGGAAAACTAAAAAGCAGCCCACAGTTGCATCGTCCACCTGGGAGGCAGAATATATGGCTTAACTCAGGAATGTTTACAGCGGATGCAGCTACTTCAGAGCATTGACTGCTGTGAATTAGGGTTGGAACGGTTCACAACATCCACGGTTCGGTTCAGTTCACGGTTTCGTGGTCACGGTTTTCGGTTCGGTGTTGTTAGCATGACATGTTGGTTGTGTTGCTGTTAGCATAAACAAAACGTGTTGCACAATGCTTGCACACTGTTGCACTTTTATCCACAGCTTTCTTTCCGCCATCATCGTAGGTCACTCTTAGTGCAAAGTGGTCCCATACAGCAGACCTATAAAGTGCTGCTGGCGCGTCTTCCAACTCCTGTTCTTTCCCACTCGCCATACCCACACAATTCTCCACAACAACTGATTTTTTTCCCTGCTACACCCGGCTACGCTGCTTCACTTCTTCTTCTTCTTGTTTACTACTGGTGGTTGGCTTTGGTCGCAGTACCGCCACCTTCTGCTCTGGAGTGTAAACGCTTCGCCTATGAGGAAAAGGAGCAGCGCATGAACCGAACGCAACACACGCGAACCGAACCGAGACAGTCGATCCGAACGGTTCGGACGGTTTTCATAAACCGTTCCATCCCTACTGTGAATACACACCAGCTAAGGTTTATGGAGACGATAGCAACAGCTAAAAACCCTGTTAAGAGACAGCATTGGAAAGACCAGTCTAAGCCAGGGGTCTTCAAGGTTTTCCAGGCCAAGGACCCCAAACTGATGTCCCGATGGAGCAGGGACCCCCTAATTATATATATTGTATGAAATAGTGTTCTATCAAACTGGTTCTATAGTCCCTCTATTACAGATGGAGTAATGTAACTAAAGTAATCCCTCCCTGGGATTATTAAAGTATTTCTGCTTCCTGGTTGACGGGACAGGTGTTGTGAATGAAACGGTGCCCAGCTTGAAATGTGAGCATTGATGACTGAAAGACATCTTCTGCCTCCATTTATCTGTTTACAGAGGTGTCTAGTAATAAAGTAGAAATACTTTGTTACTGTACTTAAGTAAACTTTTTAGGTATCTATACTTTACTCCATTAATTTTTTTTCGTCCTACTTCTGACTTCCCCTCATTACATTTACACCAGTATCTACACTTTTTATTCCTTACATTTCTAAAACAAACGTTACTCGTTACTCTTGGCTTCGGTCTAATGTTTCTAAATCTTTATTTCCCGTCATGTGCTCCATCCGATGCAGATCATTGGCTCCGCCCACATCTAGTGAAAACTAGTGTGATTGGATGAGTCATAGAACGCAAACACTCATTGGTTAGCTAAAGGAAATCATCAGAAGCAAGCAGGTGTTCTTCAAACTGCTAACGTGAATTGTCTATGCCATGCTACGATGTGGGATTCAGAAAAAGATGTTGAAATGTCTGAAAGGTCGGACACAGGCGAGAGCGTATCGGGAGACGGAGACCAACAAGACCTCCCTCATCCTTGGCCCTATCTCAAAGGATTTATAGAAATAGTCCAAAAATTGAGCTTTCAATTCATATAGTGGCATCTGGCTGTTTTTTTAAAGGTTACTTTATACTTTTATACTTTAAGTAGTTTTTGGAGCGCATACTTTTTCACTTTTACTTGAGTAAAGAGGACAAGTTGATACTTCAACTTCTACCAGAGTGTTTTTAAACTGCAGGATCTATAATTCTACTGAAGTAACAAATGTGGGAACTTTAGACACCACTGTCTGTTTACTACAGTGTGTTTAATTAATGTTAATGTGGATTTAAAGACATTTCAATTAGTGGAAAAATTGCAGGGGGGATCAACCAAAACTTTAGCGACCCCCATGCAGTAACACATGGACCCCCACAGGGGTAGCAGACCCCCTGTTGAAGACCTCTGGTCTGAGCTACTGTCCAACAGAGCAGATGGTAGCAGATATGATGACCAAGCCTGTAACAACATGGAAGATTTAATGCTTTATCTGTGGAATGTAATATGTTCACAGAGTGGATAATTTTAGATCACGTGGGGGCGTTAAGATTTATGCTGTAAATTACATTTATTTCAGAGGAAGTGATGTGTAAATTGTCACGTGTCAGGGTAAATGATCTCAGAGTGCAGGTGGGTTGCTGCGTTCTATCAGGTGTTTCCTACCTATCCGGTGTAAGATGATCTGGGGGATCCTGGTGAAATCCAGCAGTCTGTGCTGATCGTCCATCTCCACTTTGGGCCTTTTCTCTCTTCCTTTAACCTCCGTCAATGTTTCTTCAGCAGGAGTTAACTGCTCGCTGATAAACTCTCCTTGAAGCTGGACTGAACACATTCTCCCTGCAAACACTCACACATCATCAGCCTCTCTACAAACACTCCACGGAGGAAGGAAGCTAACGCTGCTGCTGGCAGATATTCATAATAAAGGACCCACAGACTTCTTCTTCTGTTCTATCATCTTCTTCTTCTTCTTGTTGTTTTACTGGCGACTTGCAACCAAATGGAGCATTATCGCCACCTACTTGATCTTATTTATGTTTCCTTAAATCCTTAGGTTTAGTCCAGTTTGTTGAAGATAAGATGACATGATTTTAAGTACTGTCTTTCTGGATTTATTTAAGAAGATATTTTTAATGTCCAGTTGTTTGATTCCTTCATGTTCCAGTCCTTTCCTTAAATCTATTCTTTGACTTGCATATTTAATACACTCAAACAGCACATGTTCTACTGTTTCTGGTTGACTACACATGTCACATTTTCCTGTTGGATGCTTCCCAGTAACATGCAGTGATGCATTTAGCCTCGTGTGGCCTAACCTAATTCTACTAAACATCCCCTGTTCTCTCCTGCTCTTCCCCAGAGGCTCTTCTTTCTGTTCTATCATGGCGGATCGCAAGCAACTCGAAGTACACTTCGCTGCAGCAAACAGAAAGGGGCGGGGACGGACCACTGTCAGTCTCATACCTTATATGGAAATGGGACATTTCATTCCGGAACTGACGGGGGCGCTAGTGACACTATTTCCTGTACCGACCGTTTCATAATAATTATAATAATAATAATAACGTATTTTATTTGACAACGCCTTTCAAAACACCCAAGAACACTTTCAACATTAAAAATACTAATTAAACAGTAAAGAAATGGCTACAAAACGTGATATGTCACGGGGCATGTCTGTCACGTGGTATGTCCTTTTTTTATTTTGAAATCTTTATTTAAAATTATATTAGTAACAAACAATCTAAAATAAGCAACAATAAGGAATCATTATGGAGATGTATTTATCTATCCTTACACCCTATATATGTCTAACAAAAGTCATAAAAAATAAAATAAAATCAATATTTTGGAGACAAATGTACATTACATTAAGAGCATATTTATCCATCCATTAATTTTTATGAATTATCCTCAAGTGGGGTCATGAAGGCTGCTGACCCTGGACAGATCCCCAGTCCATCGCTGATTAAGAAAACAGATATAAACAAATACATGCTGGTGCTGAAGTTCAAATAATATATTTTGATGTTGTGAACGGTACTCTTAAAATAAATATGTTAAAATCTAAAATATAATAGCCTTTGGCTTATTTAATAAGAACTAGATGGAAAAGAGGTTTGGTCTGTAAAACATTTAGTCGACAATTTTGGCCAACTTAGTACGTCCACTCACGGTGCACTTTTGTTGTTTATTTGCCAAATATTTTTTCTTATTATTCTCATTGTGAATATAATTTACAAACAAACCAAAGGACTTTTGAACTTTTAACAAGTGCCATTCGGTAACTAGAATATACTTGGTTGCAGGTGACCTGGCTCAATTATTATCATTATTGACCATAATGTCTCCTATAAGGACTCCAGCTCAACTAGTAAACTGACTGGTGTCCCACTATTCCATTTAGAAATACTAGGGGTGTAAATCACATCCATCATGGCGATTCGATTCAGTATCGATTTCCTGACCCAACGATTCAATTAATTTCGATACTCAAGAATACACCACGATTCGATTCGATTAATCGATTAATCGGTTATTTTTTTTTTTTTATTATTATTATTTTTACACCTTACAGGCTAAACAAAGTTTCAAGTTTGAAATAAATCAATGAAAGCTGTAATATCATGCATTTTCTTTAGAAACAACAGCAAATAACAGAAGTAGAAAAGTTGCATCAAAAAATACTGCAAAAATACTGCACAATATCAGTGTAATGAGTTCAATGCAATACCTCGGCTCCAGAGAAACTGTCCAACATATTTTTTTAGAATGTAATAAATATACTCAGGAAAGAGAGATGTTGCTTAGAGAGTTAGACAGGAATAAAAATAAACTAGATATAAGGGAATTGTTTCAAAGGTAATCTGGGGATGTAGTTTTTGGTAGTATTTTTAATTTTCTAAGAAGAACGGGTATTTTAGGGAGAATATAATAGTTTTTCTGGTCCATACTCCATTCTGGAAGGTGGCGGTAATGCACCTATAAGTTGTTTGCCAACCGCCATTAAAAAAAAGAAGAAGAAGAAGGCTTCAGAGTGTTGACGTCACCGCCCCCTTGAGAGACGCTCCGCTGCTCCTCTCCCAGATTGTAGCTGACCGCAGACAGTGCAGCAGACAGGAGGCCGGCTTGTTTTGTTTTTATGACCGAAATTGCGGAAAACAACTCGTGAAGTTTGACCCGCTAGAAGAGCGAGGTGCGCGAGAACGCTGGGACCCTTTTTCCACCTGGATCTCCGCTCTTTTTGGCCCTCATGTCCCTCCGTCGTCGGACTAAACTCGCCCCCACTTCCTCGCCGCCTCGGCCGTATCTAGACCCACAGCGTGTAGCACAGACCACGCTTCAATACTGAGCATAATTTAAAAATGTCTGTGTGAAGCTTGCTGCAATAAACTGCTGTAAGAGTATAACCAGGAAGCGCGGTAGGAGGGCAAAATAGGTTTAGCGGCACCGCAGCACGGGAGGGAGAATTACGCCCAGGAGCAAATGGATAAAAATAGACCGGAGGAAAAAAAAACATGAATCGATTATCTTGCGGACGTGTCGATGCATCGGATCGTCGGCTTTTGGATCGATGCATCGATACAAAACGATTATTATTTACACCCCTAAGAAATACCATATTAATTTTATCAATTGCAATAAATTCATAAACTGCACTCCAAAAACATGAATATCCAATTGTAGCAAAACCCAAAGTGATTAATTAAAACCTTAAATGTAGCTTCAACCTGGAAAGACTCGCACAGAAAGTAGGTTTTAGAAAGTTCATTTGACAATAATCTTCAACTTTCTGATCCCGGCAGTAGACACTGTACTGGTAACCACCAGAGAGAATGATCTTTTTTCTACATGAAAACCTTTTTGAATAAAGTCTGTCTTCATCTCACCTGCTCAGCCAATCACCTGCTCAGCTGCCTCCCTCCCAGCCTAACGGCGCCGGTCTCAAGTCCTTCACCCTTCATAAAGTCCAGCTTGATGTGTGCAACTGCTCCTCACCTGAGCTTCCATCACCTCCACCCTGATTACACCTTCGCTTTGCTCGTTTAATCTTATGTTTGTATCTGAACAATATGTTTTTGCAACTTATTTTTTATTACATAAAAAAAGTTGATTCTAACTGTTAAAACATAAACAACTTGTCTGTATGTCAGGTTTGTAAAGAAAGTTTGTATTGATTCCAGTCATTGTTCAAAAATGTATAGGAAACATTGTATATTGCAAGTTATTAGCTTTGCTTGCATTTAAAATTTTCCAATTGTTAAACAACGCTGTTACAATATATTTACAACTACTTTATTGGTTCTACTGTCTCTCCAACAAATTACAGCCACAATGTAACTTTGTGGAAACGACACCATTTCTATGAAAACTAAATGATGTAAATCAACTGAGCTACAACAAAAGGAACTTTCAAAAATGTAAATAATATTGAAAGAACACATTATGAAAAAGGAGGACTGCACAAGTCAAAAGGTAAATATTCTTTATCAGAAAAGATTTCAAATGGCATGTCACAAAAAAAACTAACAATATGTGACAGATTGTGGAAAGCAACTTATATTTTCTTTGAATTCAATGTTGGCACTCAGGGCAAAGTCCAGGTATGCCATCACAGTAGTAACGAGGGTACTCTCCTCTCCTCTGCATCCGAAAAAAAATAAATAAAAAAACAAACAAAATAAAAAACAGGTGCATTGCAAGACTGTCATACAGGAAGAATGGATGATACATATGATTATGAATGAATCTTACCTGTAAGATTGGCGGTATCCTTTCTACCTGCATGGTGAAGAGCATTAAACAATAATTAATACTTTATATCTCTCAGTATCTTATCCTTTCATCTCTAATGATATAAAAAAAAGTTGTCAAAATAATGAATTTTAATTTAAAAAAAATAAAAAAATAATCATTTAGGGTTTTAGTCCCATTTGCACATAAAGATACACAAATCAAAATTACTAGTTATGTGTAAATGTAAAAAATGAACCTCAATTTGTGCCTCGGCTCCTTTGGCATAGGTGTGGTCATCAGCACACAGAGTCTGTAAAAATACAGATATGTTCTAAGTGAAAGATGAATGCAAGTCCAAATAACATCAAAACTGCTTCAACCCTTTTAATTCTTCTATTCTGAGTTTCTTTCAGACTTAAAAAAATAAGCATAGAACAAAAGTACACTGTGAATGGACATAATACAAATTCTATGACTTAAAACAACAAAGTGATGAATTTTAGCTACAGCTTACCTCACATTTTGCCCTCTCATCAACTTTTTTCCGCTTTCTCTCCTTTTGTAGTTCTTCTCTGGACCTTTTAAAAAGGACAAATTTAAGGTTTTCTTAAAAAACTGAATCTAGAAAAGCGTATAAGGCTCGGGCACAGCGCGTTGCATTCTGGGTACGCCGCCATATTGGTAGCTAGTTGCTACGGTAAACAAAGACCTAAAACAGCATAGAGACAGAGCAGAAAGACGAGTAAACAGCGATGTTAAAAGCGAAGAAAGGATGCGGAATATACCGAGACACACTGCAGAGGGAAGCCAGGGACCGTTATCTGCAAAAGATGGGCTTCATAAACGGACTTGATCCCTACGAAGTAGAAAGCAAGGAGTGGTGCGTTGGGGAAGAATTTCTACCGCCGTTTGCGAGGGAGGACGTATTTTCGTATCTAGTGTGTGGCGTCAGTGCCTACACACATGAAGAGTTTCGCTGCTACAAGTTGCTAGAGGCTTACAAACAGCTGACAGATGGAAAAGTTCATGACATGGAAGTTATCAAGCCGAATGAGAACACAGTCATCAGAGCCAAGGTAAGCTACCGTCTCAACATGGTGTGGTGTTTGTTGTGGTGATAAGACTAGGTGCTGGCACTAACGTAAAACATCAAAAATGTATCTACT